GGTTGAAAATAACATGTAGACCGCAAGACAGTCAGTTCATATATAGGTATTAACCGATGAAAAGTATCCATAAGTCTTCAGGAAGAACATCTTATGTTGTTTATTGTCTAGGACTTTGTAAAATTGACTGTTCAAGGTAGTATAGAGCCACTTGTCATAATGTGATGATGCATTTTTATATGATATAACTATCGGTTGCAGTAAGGCTTATAAAATGACAGTATACCTAAGTTTATATATACTGCCAGAATATACAGGGAGGAGGTTTGTTAACCTTATCATTATAGTGCAATTAGATATAAAGAGCAACTGCAGTCGCTGTGTACATGGCATGTCAGGGTTAGAAAGCAATGTATTATACCTTATTATTTTACATTATGTAGAAATTGACTGCATATCATATGATTTTTGTCTCACCCAAGGCTCAAACCAATTTCCCATGGGTCCCTCATGCCTATTGGATGGGGAGGGGAAGAGAAAAAGGGATTGCTAAGTCAGAAACTAAAATTTTGTATTGAATATGCATGAGAAATGATACATTTTGTCTGTTTAAGTCATGTCATAAGCAAAAGATACAATTATAGGTATTGCTAACTGTAGACCCAGGTAACCTTTGAGAATATTGGAAATACTAGTGCTTACTTGTTCCATTCTATTCAGTAATCTAATGTGTGATTCTCGTAAACTCTTTTTCTTTTTCATTGTCAGACATAAACTATTTCCACTGCCTGAAAATCGTTGAGATCTTGAAGGAGACGGAAAAGGATACTAAGAATATTTTGGGATGGTATGGATCCCAGCGGATGAAGGTAAGACAATGCAATGTTATCAGATACAGTATGTCCCCAACTTAAGAACATAATGGGGACTGAGAGGCTGTTTGTAAGTTGATTTGTTTGTATGTCGAAAGTCGGGTCTCCATTACCTTTTTTCCCATTGTTTTAAAGTTTTGTTTACATTAAGAATACCTGTAAATAAATCCCAATAAGTACGACATACCTTATACAGTACCAGACTCTTGAACTATATTCGCGCTCGGGAAATTTGAAGTTTGCTAGCATCTGTAATTATATTCAAATATTTTCCTTGTGTTTGAAATTATGTTTTCTAATTCTGAAAATTCTCTTTCTGTTCCAAAGATAATGAATTATGAAATGCTTTGGTTAAGTTAAAGCCATTCTTCATCTGGTCATCCAGTACAGTACCTTCAAAGCTTTTATCTTTATATTTTTTATAAATTTGTAAAAGACTGTATTTTCCTAAATTTGGGTTTGGAAATGATTATGAGCTAAAGCCCCAAAGTAAGAAATGGTAACAACTCCCCTACAGGATTGGCAGGAAATTACCCGCTTGTATGAGAAGGATAGTGTCTATCTGGCAGAGGCAGCTCACCTACTGATGCGCAACGTCAAGTATGACATCCCAGACCTCAAGCAGCAGATATCCAAGGGGACTCACATACAAGAGGTTTGGATTTTTTTTCTTCTTGTCTATATTTTTTTTGTATTTTACAGGTTCATGTGTTGTATAGGGTAATATAATGCCAAACACAGAGGTGAAAGAGCAGTTTCATTTAAATAGAATGGAGCTTTCAAGTTATTTAATACAAATGAGTGTTTGAAAGTCACTAATTGCCGAATTAGGTAAATGTCTGTACACGTGTGTAAAAAGTCACTTGTCAGGAATTTTCAAGCAGATGAATATGCAGTTAGGAGACATTAAAAAAAGCTGTTACCTTTTTGAATAGCTGCAAGGTTTACAGATCATGAAAACAGTCTGTCTCTCTCTCTCTCTCTCTCTCTCTCTCTCTCTCTCTCTCTCTCTCTCTCTCTCTCTCTCTCTCTCTCTCTCTCTCTCTCTCTCTCTCTCTCTCTCTCTCTCTCTCTTTTTGAAAGAACACACTATATTCAGATCTGTGCTTTCCAGAAACAGGCAGAAAAATAAAAAATAAATAAAAAAATAAATAAGAAGCCTTTGATTCTCTCTCAATTTCAGGAATGTGATCGTAAGGAAGTGGAGTATGTCAAATCAGCAGAAGAAGCCAGGAAGAGATATGCTCAGATGTGTAAACAGATCGGCATTCCTGGAGAGAAGGTGAGAGATTTAGGAAAATGTTGTTGTAATATTTATGTAGTAAGAGCCTTTGATTTTTTTTTTTTTTTTTTTCCCCCTCATGTAAATGCCAAATAAAAGATAGATTGTCAGTAATTATTTCATTATATATATTTTTTTTGTTGTTGTTCTTGTTGTTGTTATTGAAAATTTCAGTTCAATTCATCTTGACCCATTGCTGCCGGGGAAAATGAACAAAAAATGGGGAAAATACTGTACTCATTTTTTATATTTTTGTGAAATATCTCTGTCCATAGATAGCTCTGCTAGTCCTGATTTCACCTTTCCTTAAATTGGCGGGAAAAAACGTATTCTTACTAGTGCTATAAATATAGATGGTGTTATTTGTAACAGCAAATTAGGATAACGTTAAATATTTTCGTAAATT